GGACAGTCTGTCTGGGCCGTCGTTCAAGTGGCCTGGTACGTGCGTCGCTCTCAGCAAGCGCAGGTGGCGCTGAGACCAAACTAATATGCGTTCTGTCAGATTGCAGAGGTTCCTGGATCTGACTCCGCCCTGACGGTTCAGGTAGGACACCACAGACCTGTTGTCCGAACGGACTAGGACGTGGTGACCCTGAATGACCGGGAGAAAACGCATGAGTTTTCGACCGCTATCATTTCCAGACAATTTATGTGAAGGAGCTTTTCCTGATCTGACCATAGGCCAAAAGCCGGTGAGCCCTGGCAGATCGCGCCCCAACCCGTGTTGGATGCGTCTGTCGAGATTACTTTTCGGCGTGAGATAGCTCCCATCATCACTCCCCGCTGATACCACTTGGCCACTTTCCAGGGCTGCAGAGCTGAGATACAGGTCTGAGTCACTCTGATCGGCTGGCGGCCTGTGGCCCAAGCCCAGCAAGACGCACGGGTGTTTAGCCAGTGTTGTAGCGGGCGCATGCGCAGTAAACCCAGCTGGAGTACTGCTGCGGCTGAGGCCATACAACCTAACATTCTCTGAAATGTTTTCAACAGAGTGAGGCTGTTCATCTGAAATGATGCGGCTAAGCACTGAACACGGCGCGCGTGCTGTGTTGACAAGCGAGCCGTCATAGCCACTGAGTCTAGTTCTATTCCTAGAAAGGAAATCGCCTGACTGGGCTGTAATGAGCTCTTGGTCCAGTTGACCGAGAGACCCAAGTTGTTCAGATGATTGAGGAGTACTGTCCTGTGAGACAGAAGCTCTGTGTGTGATTGTGCCAAAATCAGCCAATCGTCCAGATAGTTCAAGATTCGCAGGCCCTGATTCCTCAGGGGGGCAAGCGCCGCGTCCATGCACTTTGTAAATGTGCGGGGTGCTAAGGACAGGCCAAACGGAAGGACGGTGTATTGATAAACCTGACTGTCGAAGGCGAATCTCAAGAATGGCCTGTGACGGGGAATTATCTGAATTTGAAAATAGGCATCTTTCAGATCGAGAGATATAAACCAGTCCCCCTGGCGCACTTGCGTGAGGAGTTTCCTGATTGTTAACATTTTGAACGGTCTTTTTGCAAGCACTTTGTTCAAAAATCTGAGATGTAGAATGGGTCTGAGGCCACCGTCTTTCTTGGGAACAAGAAAATAACGACTGTAAAACCCCGACTCGCTCAGAGAAGGCGGCACTTTCTCTATGGCCCTTTTGCACAGAAGGTTCGCTATTTCTGAACGAAGCATGAGAGCTGCTTCCGTGTTCACAGTAGTTTCGAGCCGCGCTCGGAAGCGTGGAGGGCGGCGGTCGAACTGTAGCAAATAGCCCTGTTTTATTGTGCTTAACACCCATTTCGATATCCCTGGGATAGCTTCCCATTCTTCTATACGTGAAGCTAGGGGATGAATGGTCACCTCGCTCTGATTGCCGCATACAGTGGGCTTTACAAGCTGTGGAGGTGTGTGCGCAGTGTGCGCGCTCATGGTGTTCGTGCACGGCGGCTCGCAGACAGCAGCGACAGGCTGCTTTGTGAGTGACGGCCCGATTGCGGTGAATGGGTGACGGTTCATGGCTGTTTTGTAGTGCGCTAGCATCGCCACTGGCGGGGTGCTTTTCTGTAAACCTGAGCGCTTGAGAGCGGGCACATAGTTTATGTGTGTGTGTGACGACCCGATCTTCACAGATGGGGAGCGTGCAGTGATAGCCCTGTGAAGGGCAGGCGACGCTTTGTGAGAAGCGTTTATTAGTAAGCGTGCGCACTCGGAGGGGGGCACGGGACTTACATTCATAGAGGTGTTTACTGGCCGTGTAACAGAGCGGGCAGAGAGAGGGCGCGCGCACGGACTCGTGGGGGCGACTCCTAATTTGAGCACTCGAGCGGACAGTGTCCGCTTTATGAGAGTGGGCTCTGCTAGAGACACGGGGAGTGTAATGCTTGTGTGTAGGGGTGAACACTGGGTTGTGGGCACGATTACTACACTTATGGCATGTTCGGCGTGAGCCGGAAGACCAGATATTGTGCTCTTTAAGAGATTTCTCTGGGTCGCCGTGAAAACGGCGTTTGTGTGCAGGCGAGCGGGTAGCGTTACCGGCTCGTTGGCTGCTGAATTCACTACTGTAATAGCCTGAATGAAGGGGACTGACAGGGGGCGAAGTTTTGACGGTGGTCCGACCTCGGCGGGACTGAACCGTCTCTTTCTCAGCGTGGCTAGGAGGACTTCAGGTGCTCAGGTTTCAGCGCAATCTTAGGCCGAGGGAGGGGGGGGGGGGGGGGGGGGGGGGGGGGGGGCCGTGCGGCGGTCTGCGGCGGCTGTCCGAGCGCGATCTAGGGCGGCCGCCCTGGCGTCGCTGTGAAGTCTGACTGTGCTGAGCTGGGCGCTGTGAGGTGGCTCGTGCAGGAGGCTGGTCACATGAGCGGCCTGCAGAGGAGCTAACTCGTCGAGGCAGGAATAAACTCATGGCTTGAGTGGCCTTTTGAACTTCGGAGAAACGCTCGACGATACCACTCACCGCGGAGCCGAAGAGACCGGAAGGAGAGAGCGGCGCGCTGAGAAACGTGGTGTGTTCAGATTCTCCCATGTCCGCGAGCGTCAGCCAGAGGTGCCTCTCGGTTACAGTCAGCGCGGCCATGCACTTTCCCAGGGCTAGAGCAGACTTTGTGGCGCGAAGGGACAGGTCCGTCGTGCTCCTTAAATCCGTCACAGCCTCTGGTTTCCTGCCTGTTAGGCGCTGACTCAGAAGGCGGTGACCACTCGAGCCTGAGGCGGTCGACGGCCTGTGTGAGGAGGCGCATGAGCTCATCCTCGACTCCAGCGCGGATCCTGCCGGATTCCTGAACCGAGGAGGAGGCATGGGAGCCTGACCACTCCTCGCTGTCCGAAGCCAGAAGGGAACAGCAGGCATTATCCTCTTCATTTTCGGATAGAGCGTCAATGCGGCCACTCGGCGGCAACTGCGCGTCTGGGGGGGGGGCGGGGAAGGTGAAGGCGAGGCTCGAGGGAGAGGCTCCGGCGAGACAGTCGCGTCCATCATGGGTTCCAGCGGCCTTTGCGAACGGCGCTTCTTCTTGCGCGGTGCGACGAAAGGCGGGGCGGCGGCTTTGGTGTTGAAAACTTCCAGTCGAGCCCGCAGGGTCGACATAGGAAGTTCCTCGCAGAGGTCGCATCCGCCGTTGACGAGAGCGAGCGCTGCGTGTTCCTGTCCCAGGCAGAGAGCGCAGATCAAGTGGCGGTCTCCGGCGCTGAGGGGGGCTCGGCACGAGCCGCAGGATGTGCGAGGCATCTTTAAAAAGACACTCCCTGCTCTTTTGTGATGTTCACGGTGCGAACGTGCTCTTTAGCTTTTTGCAAAAGGATACGTCGCCGGGTGGCGTAGCTCGCACGGATGGCTGAAGGTGGCGAAGGCGGCCGGCTTCTTCAAGCGCTGTCCTGAGCTTGCTAGCCCCTCTTGAGGGCGACGCGGCTTCTGTAATCCAGCGATGCGAAGATCTTCAATGAAGAGATGAAAATCAGGGAAGCAGCCTCCGAACCTCGCTTTTATACACATAAGCCACGCCCATTCTGGCGGGCTATGATGCCATGAAGGCGCAAGCGCCTCTCATTGGCCGTGACATCACGCAGGTTCACCGATAGGCTGCTGCAGTTGCTGCAGAGCAGACAATGAGCTCGCTAGATAGCCCGCTCTAGGTCTGGCAGCTGCTGCACTGCGTTGACAATGGATTAAGGATAATTAAGGATAATTTTTGGCTTCAATATCTCAGAAAAGATGAATCTTTCCCGTAGCGTAAGCTAGCTTATGCAATACGAGAGAACCTCTCGTAAAAGAACCCAGTAAACCTTAATTATTAACATTAGAACATGGATATGAGAACATGTATACAACTAAATTAACGAGCTCTTAAACATTTTCATTTAGTTTTGCGAAAATTATTAAACATGGACCTTTGTTCATTGAAAGTATACTCAAATCACTATGCAGGTCTGAGTGATTACTGGAGAGAACGCTTTGAAATGAGTTGCATACATCAATATGTGAAACAGCACACAATGAAATGAACTAAAATGGCAAAATGCTACATTGATGTCACATGATCTGATTACCTCTAACTCTTTCACATCCAACTTGATTTAAATAAGAGATAACAATTTTCACTTATTGGTTCATTCACACCAGAAGAGGAGCTCACACCCTTAGAGTAATACATTCCAAGTTTTCCAGGACTACCGCTTTCTAGATTACATTTTGAGTACCATTTTGGATCGGTTTTAAATTACATTAAAATCCAAATGCATGTCAAAGCTTTATCGGCAGACATCTGAAAAGCACTATGATGCAGAAAAGGACATGCCTCCAAGAAATTTCCATAGGAAATGGGGAAGCTGTGCACATAAGACAAATCTTTTAGAGAGTAAATGAATCCAATTCATGTGCACCAAATAAATGTGCCATATTAAGGTGCTGCTTGTTCGGATTCAAACACACTTGGTATTTGGACCATAGAATTGTTTTGATAGAGCCTGCTAAGGGTGACTAATGGCAAAAACAAGGTATTGCATGCATAGTATGCAATACACTTATGATACTGCATGACTGTAGGGAAAAGTGGTCATGTCTGCTCTACCTGTTAAACATTCGACCTTTTTTGTAATGCTCATAAGAGCTAGTCCCTGTATGAGAGGATTGACCTGCCTGTGTAACTGCCAATAAATGCAGACTTCACTGTCAAACTCTCCGATTCCATGGAGAGTTTATCCCATTTTCTGGTTAAACGGTTACAAGACCACTAAAGCAGCAACACAATAGAGAAAGTCAGGAAATACTTGACTAGGGAGCACAAATTGACTAGGGAGCCCAAATCAACCACTATGTTTTGGTTTCTAAGTGTCCCAAACTGACATGAACTTTTAAGAAACAGGCAAGGAGTTGTGGGTTCCACATGGCTTACAATGAATTACAATACTCAAATTCCCCATGAACAATTTATTCACATTAAAAAAAAAATTAAGCTTCATGACAGTTAAACAGGAACATGGCCACATGGGGACAGTTGCTCATATCTCATACCCCAGCTTTCATCTGACTGTGCGGTGGCAGAGGTTTCTCCAGGTGGTGACCCACAGTGAGACCGAAGGGGGAATCAGCCTGCTTTTCATGAACTTCAGGCTTCAGCTGAAAGCCTTCCACCTCATCAAAACTGTCTACGGGTGGGAAGGAGAGAGGCACTTCGCTTAAAAGACCTTGAAGACGAGTACGCCAGTCTTTCAACAGGCTGTCACGATCCTCAGCAGAGAGATGTGTGGGTGCCCAGAAGACCTGTGGTGCGAGGACCTGGAAGCCACAGTAATTGAGGACACCATTCTACAAGAGAGAAAACATTAGCACAGCAGTCCCAGGTTAGTATAACATGCAAAATCAAATAGTGCAAAATGAAGCCTGGTTGAGGGAAAATAAGGGATGAAGCTTCTTACCTGAACTGGCCACAGAGTGACATTAATATCTCCATTGATCCCATTGGAGCTGAACATGGTCTCATGGGAACCAGTGGTGAATGACAACATGGCTTTCTTTTCCTGACAAATTAAAAACCCACTCACCCATTAACAACCCACTCACATTTCATTAAATGACCAACTTTTAACCTTTTTTGATTAACGCATGTAATGAAAGATTAGTTTGTGATTTGTTGGTCTTACCCTGAAGATGCCTGCACTGTAGCGCTTTTCCGAGGTGTATGCAAAACCAAGGGTAAAAACCCGATCCATCCAGCCTTTCATGATGGCAGGAACCGAGAACCAGTACATGGGAAACTGCGAAAGACAAAAAAAGGGAAGTAAAGAACTACAAATAACCAAAAGCAACAAAAATAAACAAAATCCAATTTCTGATGTATAAAAGCCTTACCTGAAAAATAACAATATCTGCTTCTTTTAGTTTCTTGTGCTCCTCTACAATATCAGAAGCTAGTCGTCCCTCCTGCCAGGCCAGCATGGTCTCCTCTCCATAGCAGAAATGTTCTGGGTTCTTCACTGCTTCTGAAAAATGCAAAATAGCCATTGCGCTCCAACAAGGGCAAAAGTTAAGTTTAATATTTTCTAAAACATAACACTGCATCCAAACCAGTAATATCCTCCTTGGTTGCTGTGGCCTTGAATTTCATTTCATACAGGTCAGACACAAGAACATTGCAGTCCTGTTTCTTCAGCACATCTACAGCAGCATCTTTAATGGCTGCATTGAAAGATCCAGCACTCTGGTGCGCATACACGATCAACACTGTCTTTGCAGCTGAAAAAATAAAAACAATTAATTAAACAAATCAAACAAAAATTAACTGCAGCAACAAAAGAACATACCCATGTTTCTTCTTCTTCTTCTTCTTCTTCTGATTAATGGCAGATCATATCTTTACGATATATACCGCCACCTACTGGACTACTACACAGGAGTGTGTAAAAAGGACGTTGGCAAATGATACATCAAATCATAATAAAAAAAAAAAAATAAAAAAAAATAATAAAAAAAAACCCACTAAATTCTTCTACTTAAACCAGTATCATTAAGATATATAATTAAATATTTGCTTCTTTGTCCCTGCATTCCTTGTTCCTGTAAAATATTATGAATATCATTTTCTGCATCAGCGTCTTTCCATTTCTGTCTGAATTTGTCAAATTTCTTACATTTAAATAAAACATGGGTGACATCCTCCAATACTTTACATTCAGAGCATATGCCATTACTTTTACCTATTAAGGATAAAGTGGAATTAAGGCCTGTGTGACCCAACCTCAATCTGGTTATCATACCTTCTTCATGCCTATTTAGACCCAATGAGGTGATTCTTTTCCCTCCAACACAGTTCTGGTTCCTATGATAATGCCTGGCATTCTTCTCTAACTCCCATTCATCTTGCCACTTTAGTGTAATCTGTGATTTAATTAAAACTTTAGCATCTCCTTTACCCAATGGAATGTGAATTTGTACTTGGTCTAATTCCAGAGCTTTTTTAGCTAACTTATCAGCAATTTCATTGCCATCAATTCCATAATGTCCTGGAATCCAACAGAACTGTACCACTAACCCAAGGCTTATAATATTTAAAAGAATATGCTTTACTTCTAATACTAAATCTTCACGTATTGCATTATCTGTTATAAAACTTTGTAATACTGCCATAGAGTCAGTACATATAACAGATCTCAGAGGTTTAGTCTCTTCAACCCACCTAAGGGCAGTAATTATTGCAGTCATCTCTATTGAATATACTGATAAATGGTCACTCACTCTATACCCATATCTTTTTCCAAATTCTGGAATGTAAATTCCAATACCACAATGACCCTTGGATTCTTTAGAGCCATCTGTAAATATTTCCAAATATCCATAATATGAAGTTTTTAAATAACTTAAGCAGGCTTCAGTAAAACTTTGCTTAGTGTGATGCTCACCTTTTCCCGCTAATAACTTAATATTTACCTCTGGTACAGGAAGCAGCCATGTAGGAACACAACTTAACGCTAATGCTGGGCCATACTTCAACTCTTTTAATCCATAATGGTTTACTAAATTGCCAATATTCCAACCAAACCCACTGGACTTTTTACAATATTCCCAACAATCACTAAGTACTGACAGAGCTGGGTTGTTGAAACTTCCTTTTAACCTTACCCAATAAGTTAGTGATAATTTCTCATACCTTAAATTAATAGGGGTTTCCTTAGATTCAACTAACAAAGCACTTGTATGAGTTGTTTTAAAAGCACCAAGGGCAATCCTCAAAGCCTTAAATTGCATTCTTTCAATTTTCTTGAGGGATGTCTTACAAGCTGAGCTATACATTATACAGCCATAATCAATATTTGATCTTATCAATGCTTTATATATGTTCATCAGAGACAGCCTGTCAGCTCCCCAATTATGCCCAGTGACCATTCTCATAAGGTTAATTACCTTTTTACACTTTGTTTCAACATATTTTATGTGAAATTTCCATGTAAGTTTGGCATCCAACCATATTCCTAGGTACTTATATTTTTCACTTCTTTCAAGTTGCTGATTATAAAGCATAATTTTATAAGTTTCAGGGACTTTTTTCCTAGTAAAATAAACAACCTGTGACTTTGAGATAGAAAATTTAAAACCCCAATCAACTCCCCACTGTTCAAGTACATGAATGTCCTTTTGAATCTTATCATTAACGTATGAAATGTTACGTCCTCTTCTCCAAATGACAGCATCATCTGCATATAATAGACCTTCGTTACTATCTCCCAGTTTTTCATATATGTCATTAATCATTATATTGAACAATATAGGACTGATAACACTCCCCTGAGGAATTCCATTTTCAACAATAAACTCATCAGACACTGCATCTCCCACTTTGACCCTAATTGAACGTTTAGAAAGAAAATCAAGTATATAATTATACATTTTCCCATTAATTCCCAATTTTCCTAATTTAATCAACAAACCTTCTCTCCACATAGTATCATAGGCTTTCTCAATATCCAGAAAAACTGCCGCCATTACTTCTTTCATTATTAAAGTCTTTTCAATTTCATTGCATACTTTAACCAGAGCATCAGTTGTTGACTTACCCCTCCTAAATCCAGTTTGATACCCTTTAATTGGATTTATGTATTCTAGAAAATAATTTAAACGTCCAACTATAATTTTTTCCATTAATTTTCCAAAATGTGAAGTGAGTGCAATAGGCCTATAGTTTCCTGGATCACTTGAATCTTTACCTGGTTTAGGAAATGGAAGAATTCTTGCCACTTTCCACATGCTTGGTAATTTACCTTCATTCCATACTTTGTTAAACAACTTAAGAACTTTCTCCAATATATTATCAGGTAGTTTTCTAAACATAGCATAACACAGGTTGTCCGTCCCTGGTGCAGAGTATGCAGAATTACTCAATGCCCTTTTAAGTTCTGACATATTAATTTCAGCATCCATAATAGACATATTTGACTCTTTGGTATTTAAGATATTCCTATTTGTTTCCAATACCTCTTCTTTCCTTTTCATATACCGCTCCTCCAGGTGGCTACCCTTGTGTATGTCTGCAAAAGCTCTAGCAAGCATATTGGCTTTTTCCAAATCTGAGATTGCATGGGTCCCATCTTTAATTAAAACAGCAACCTGAGGAGGCTTAAATTTGCCTATCATCTTCTTAATCATCATCCATACTTTATTTAACGTGGTCTCTCTTCCTATTGTTGAGCAAAACTGTCTCCATGAATCTCTCTTAGCCTCTTTAATAACCTTCCTGGCTAATGCCTTCTTCCTTTGGTAGTTAATAAGATTGTCCATTGTTAATGTTCTACGCAAGTTCTTAAACGCTCTATTCCTGTCCTTGATAGCCTCTGAACACTTATCATTCCACCATGGAACATTGATTTGCTTCTTTTGATTTTGACTAACAGGAACGCTTTGGCTGGCAGCAACCAATATAAAAGAACTGACAATACTATTCATTTCATCAACTGTCTGATCATTATTAATTAATATACTTTCCCCATTCCCACAGCTTTCTACAAATTTCTCCCAATCTGCTTTTTTAAAATTCCATCTTTGGGGCACATAACTCTGTTCAATCATAAATTCAATATCAACTGCACATGTAATTGGGAAGTGATCACTACCCATGCTTGTGCTTTGATCTATTTCCCATTCACATCTACTGGCAATTTTCCTATCAACTATAGTTAAATCTATACAAGAAGTTTCATTTTTATAAACATTAATTCTAGTACCATAACCATTATTTAAACACACTAACATTCTATCATTCATCATTTCTTCCACTGCCTCACCATTCAAATTTGTCTGTTTACTGCCCCATAAACTGTTGTGAGCATTGAAGTCCCCACACCAAATCTCTCTGTGACTTCTCTTAACAATACTTTTCAATAACTCACTATTTAATGCTTTACATGGATTATAATAGTTAATGATAGTAAAATTACCACTACCTTTGTTAAATATTTCAGTTACCACACATTCGTGGGCCTTGGAATTAATAGACCTATACGGTATTCCTAATTTAATAAATGTCATACACCCTCCTCCTCTGCCTTTTTCTCTATCACATCTAATACCATTATATCCTTTCAATACAAAATCAAGGTGTGGTTTTAACCATGTTTCTTGAATGCATATGACCTCAGGTTTTTCTTTCAAATTGTGTATATATCTCTTAAATTCTTGACCATTTGTTATTAGACTTCTGGCATTCCATTGAAGAATGAAAAATACCATAAGGCTTTTAATCACTATTTTGACCCTCATATTTACAATTCAGTATCTCTTGAATTTTACTAGCTTGTGAGCTAAATCCTAAAAAGTCATTTGCAATATCCACAATTGATTTTACCGTATTACTTCCCTGATGAGGTTCAGTTGCTTTACTGATCACTGTGCAAATGAAGGCAAGGAAGTCATTTTTCTTGACCAACATTATTTCTTCTGACATTTTCTTTTTGAATTCACAGTATTCTGACTGTTGAGAGTTACATTTAGGCCTACTGACCTGTTGGACTCTCTCATTATGATGGCTCCTGTGGTTTACTCTGCTTATTGGGTTGCTAGCATTTGTTTCCCGAGCTTGCTCTGGTGTATACTGGGGAACAATTAAGCTAGCACCTTTCTTTTCTATTTCAATTTTCTTAACCGCCTCAGCATAGGAAACTTTATGAATCATTTTGCATTTCTGGACTTCTTTTGCCTCTTTGTGCTTCTCACAACCTCCATAAGCTGCACTATGATTGCCACCACAATTACAACATTTTAATACAGCATCTTGCTCACATTCACCATACTTGTGTTCTCCTCCACATTTCGCACATCTAATTTTTCCTCGACATTGGCTAGCAGCATGACCATACCGTTGGCAATTAAAACATCTTAACGGCGGCGGGATATATTCTCTCACTGAGTATGACATGTATCCCATTTGAACCCTGCTAGGTAGTTCTTTCTTGAAGCCTAATAAAATAGACAGGCTTTCTATTTTATCTTTACCTTTTGTCAACCGCTTAGCTTCACTTAAATCATAATCTTTTCAACTTTCCATGATCTCCTCTATTGAAACTGAAGTTGGGATTCCAGATATTACTCCTCTGACCTTAGATGTTGCACCCGGAATATGTGACGTTACTTTGAGTTTGTTGAGTGTGGTTTTCTTGAGAATATTACTTTGTTGTTCCTTAGAATTTGCAAAGATCAGCATTCTCCCATTACCCATGAAACGTGCGTGATTAATCTTGCCTATTTCCTTCTCTATTGCTTTCGTGATATGTATTGGATGTAAATCTGGTCCTCCCTTTTGATCAAATACCAAAATAACTTTCCAAACATCAACCTGAGGCCTCAAGAACCTGTTACCATCTGTTTTGGTCTTTTTCGCCATAACTACTGATTCTATGGAATCCGCTTCACTCTCTGACCTTTGTCGTACCTTCTGCTTGTTGCCATTAACAACCTCATCCCAAAACATTTCACCTTCATCAAGCATGTTATCTAGGTTTAACGATACAAAAGATCCACCAGATGTCTCAGCCATTGTCCAAATTACATTCACTGTGAGTAATTTATTTGATTTTACCGGTGGTCTTATTTTCCTCTACGTTGCTGTTTTTGTTTGTCTTGTGTCAGTTCTCGACTTCCAGAATCTTCCAGCAACCTCGCAGCTACTAACTGACCTCCGGGTAGCCACGACCTAAGTCAGCTGACTCTACCCATGTTTCTCACCCACAGGTCTCAGAGCATCTACTAAACCAACAGCTTTGTGAGCTTCTTTTAAAACCACAATCACCTGAGCACAGCTGAAAGTAATTTACTAATCAATTAGTGTTGACAGGCTAGAGGCTTTCCAAAAACAAAAATCTACAGCAAAAAAAAGTTAAACAAAAGTGATTATTAACTGGATGTATTTCTTCTTAAAAGCAGCATCTATGAATCATAATTTTTTTTTTTTTTTTTTTTTATAAAAAACAATCGCATTATGCCTGGTGGTTAGTTTACCTTTTTACCACTAGATGTCAACATGCACCAGTAACTGGAGCTATAGACGTCTATTAGAGCCATACAAATAAAATACCTAAATGATAAAGATAAAAAATATATAGCCCCTATAAATTTAGTGACTCAGTTTAGAAAACGAGCTGTTTTGCTTAGATACTTTTGTATCATGGCCAGGTTATAATTATGACTAAAATTTTCTGCTGAAAAAAACAAAAACTTGTCTGGTCTTTGCAACGCATTCTCATCCTTTGGCGTCATATAGGTGACGCCATATGACATTTCGTCGAAATCTTACGCACATGGCATCCTTTAGCGTCAATATAACACGCACTGTTATGGGTAGGTTTAGGTCTGGGGTCGGGTTACGGTTATGACGCCTTGGGATCTGCGTCTCATATTCACGCTAAACGATGCCATGTGCGTTGGATTTACACGCGCGTCACCTGTATGACGCCTTGGGATCTGCGTCTCATATTGATGCTAAAGGATGCCATGTGCGTAAGATTTCAACGAAATGTACAAGCGTCACATGTATGACGCCAAAGGATGAGAACGGGCTGGTCTTTGATGTAGTTTGTGGTCTTTTAAAGGTACACTATGTAGGAATTCCGTTTTTGTCAAACAGCGACCCCTAGAGTCGCTGTGGAGTACTAGTACTGTCGTAAATAGCACTCACTCAGAGATAGCTCTGCACTCACGTCTGATCCCCTGTATACCGGTACCTGTTCAGTAGGATGGAAGCTGTAATGAGTGGAAATAGGTGTGGCCCCTTTAAGAGCTGCGCGCTCCCTGTTGAACTGTCGGCAGTCTGTATTGTAGGAGAGCGGGGCACAACCTAACGCATTTTGGTTTTGGCTCAATTATTAAAAAAATTATTAAGTTAGATTCAACTTTTTTTTACACAAGCAACATACACATCTCTGCTACAAATGAACACTTAAAGTTTTTTTCTAGGACCTACCATTTTCGTACTGTTGCACTGAAAGTGACAGAAGTGCAAATGTTACAACTTACCCCATATGCGGGGTTAATTGTAACAGACAGAGGGGTTAGTTGTAACACTTGTGTGTAACACACATAATTCAGTACTATTTTATTTGTATAGTTTGATATTGTTTGTGCATCTGTATAGATAGATATCCATACATCCATCCCTCATCCAATCATCCTTCTATTATGGATCAATATCATGGATAGAGACCCTACAGTCTATGATAGAGACATAGAAAAGGGCAGCACAGTTTTGCAATAAATAAATAAATAAATAAATAATCAAATTGTAATTGCAATTGAATTAGATTTGTGTGTGGCAGTTGCATGTAAAATTATTATTATTGATTATAATAACAGTAATAATAATACAAATGAGCTTAAAATCAAAATTTAAAGGGTTTATTGCATTAAAAACAGGCCATATTTTTAATAAATAAACAAGTGATCAATGCATGGTAAAATAAATTTTAAACATTTTAAATTCCAACATTGTTTGTAAAAGTCCAACAACGTTAAATATATAAATAAATACTCAAACCTGAAAAGTTGTGTGGCTCCCTGTTTTCATTTGATTATCATTGTACACTTGGCGGCTTAGTTGTAACACTGTGCTACAACTAACCCCGCTGTGTAAAGCATATTTTAAGCCTAGCTAACAGTTGCTAGGGGTTGCTGACATGTTTCAAAACGGTGCTATGTTTTAGCAAACAAGACAGTGATTAAGGCAATATAAAGTTAGATTTGAAAACGTACACACCCAACTCAGAAACCGAAAAAAACCTATGATGAAAAAATTTACTTGCATGGTGTCAAAACACTCTTTGTCCAGTATCTTCACGAAATATTATCAAAACTTTCCACAAATTCGCGGGAGACCGTCTTCTGGCAGCGAGAGAAAAAGAGCGGAAACACAACCGGCTTGATCCTGACTAACTATGTAAAAGGTCCGTGTTACATTTAACCCCGCGTTAGGTTGTGCCCCGCGCTCCCCTATGCGCGCCTCGAACACCCGTCCCCATGTATGTGGCGCCGGGTTATTTCTGTTTGATGCTCATTCTTATCCTATTTTAAGTGAAAGCCTGACCGAGTGAGACTCTTGTCCGGTTCCTCACGCAGTCAGTTTCTCGTTTTCTTTTCCTTGACTCTTCAGACCACGTTTTCTTCGTCGACCCTGCCATGATTCATGATGTTTTATTAACGTAGTTCGGGAGGAACACGTCAAATGAGCTACTCTAGTGCCACCTGCAATCAGTAACCACAAATACTCTAGTATCATCAGCTGTCTACAATCAGTAATCAACAAATACTCTAGTATCATCAGCTGTCTACAATCAGTAATCAACATATTTACCCAATCAGCACGAAGGCAAACCATATATAAGCACAGGCAAACTCACCTAAGGATGTTCTACAGTCTTCAGAACAGGTTCGCCTAAACAGCCGCCATGTCGGAGACTGAACTCTTTCCGTCCGATGACGAAACTCTCTTCTCTCAGGACTCTGCCTCAATTCCAGCCACTCCAAAGAGCGCCATTTCACCACGAGGTGCCGTCGCCGAGTCTCCAGCTTCAGTGCGTGGTCGCCAGCCAATCCGTGCTGCTATCCATACTCCAGAACGACAAAGACAGCGCTCACCTCCACCAACGAGACACACACCTTCTTTCTCGTCCTCATCCTCATCATCCTCCTACTCACTGGCCCAGCCAACCATTCCTGCAATCGGGAAATGGACGGTGTTAGGTCTAAGATTCAGACGCCGTTAGATCGCTACCCTCTCCGCCTTCTGCTCAGCATCACTCATTACCGGTCACTAACAGCAACCGTCTTCCCTCTAGCGTGAGGTTGCCTCCGCTAGCGGGGCAGGCGCAACCTGTCGTTACCATTCCAAATTCTCTCCACCATTCGTGGCCCGCGGCTCCTGACGTGAGGTTGCCTCCGCTAGAATCGCGGGCACGGACAACTCTACCTTGTCCTCCGGCTACCACTAACCCTTTTTCCCAGCCGTGGCCTTTAGCAGACCCTAGCGTGAGGATGCCTCCGCTAACGGCGAACGCCTAGTCGCCATATTTTCCACCTCAGCTTTCTCTTTCCTACCCGGTCGCTTTCCAAGCTCCAGGGGCCGTCGCAAACGCAAGACCACCTCTGTTTTCCACGTCGGCCCCGGATTGTCTCCCCCAAAACACGCTTCCTCAGGCAAAATCACCATTTTTTCTGTTTACAGCAACTCAGATGGCCATACCTCCAAACGCCATCGCTTTGGAACCGCCCCCTGTCGCCAGCAACATCCGAGCACAGATTCTATCAGGTGCGGATATTGACCTATCATCTCTCCTTTCTCTGCTTCCCCCATCCGATTCAAATCGCCAGATTGATTGCGGCGACTTCTCAGTCACCCTAAAAAATACAAACAACTCATCATCCCGAATTTTGTCATTTTCTGAATTTTGCATCGCATTCGCCAGATACACAGAGGTCGTCTGTGCCGTTTTTCCCCATATGAGGCGTGAGCTCAATGACTATCTCGCGATTGTGGCAGAGCTCGCTTTATCCTATGGGAGATCACATTTTTACACGTACCACAAGCTGTTCGCAGCTAAATGCGCTGTCCGAATCACCCTATGGAACCAGTGCCCATATTGGGGCGCGCTGGACACGGATCTTCACAAAAAAATCTACTTGAGCGTTAAAAATATTTCCTGCGCAGTCTGTAGGTCACTCGCCCATTCCACCACGTCTTGTCCTCAAGTAAATCCATCAATTCCTCCAATTCCAGTTCTTAACCAAGAAAGATCAACTAGTTACGTTCCACGGCCAGCTATTACAAAGTTCGACTCCTCCGGAAGAGCCTCCGCCGTCAGGTCTGCAACCATTTCAATGCAGGCGGCTGCTCAAGACAACGCTGTCGGTTTCTGCACATCTGCAATTATTGTGGCGGCGCTCATGCCCGCACCGTATGCCCTGTAAAGAAACACATCCAAATTTTTTTTTTTTTATTACTTGTCGACTCCCGTGAATATTTTACGTTTGTCATCAGAATTGTCTCAGCACCCTGATCCTGAATTTACCAAATATTTACTGTCTGGCCTCAAGCATGGTTTCGAACCAGGTCTCGAAAGTATCCCCTCACAAAATTTGATTTGTGATAATCTCCAATCGGCTCTCATAGAACCCGAAGTAGTAGACAACCTGATCAATAAGGAAGTTATTTCAGGTTTCATGATCGGACCTTTTCGATACCCCCCCTTTCGAACACTTTCGCATCAGCCCTATTGGAGTGGCGACAAGGAAATTTTCCGGTAAAAAACGCTTAATAATTGACCTCTCAGCCCCGCACAATTCTCCGTTCCCAAGCATAAACAGCCTCATCCCGCTAGATGAATTCTCTCTTCGCTATCACGACATTGACCAAGCAATTTCATTAATAAAAAATGCCGGCCGGGGCGCTTGGCTCGCCAAAGTCGACATTACTTCGGCTTTCAAAGTGATGCCCATCCACCC